AATTGATGATCTGGCCCAAGGAGTTTTACCATTGGCTTATCGGAAACAGAGTTAGGCCAACTCTGAGTCCTTTAGAATACCCCACCCTAGAACATTAAGGGCAAGGTTGACTCTTAATATGCAGAGGAGTTACTTCATGTAAGCCCAGCCCCCTGCATGGTGGATTATGGTTCCAGGCACAGGAAGAATGCAAGCTCTGTAGGGCTGCAACTCTCTCCTCTCCCTCGATTCTGCTGTGAGAAAGTAGGTAGGGTGGGGTGGAGAGTAAATGGAGCTTTGCCTACCCCCTCAGCACACTACACCCAGCCAGCCCCATTGGCTAAAGTTGGGAGTGTGCTGTACCCTATCTGTAGCAAAGCAGTCCTTCCCCAGGAGGGAGCCAAGGGGACTATGAGTCACAATTCCTTCCCAGGGTTCTTCCTTGGCAGAGGGAACTCTGTGCCACCCCACACTCAGGGCTAGTAGCAGTGTCTCAATTGATTCCAAGTAGAACTGGGCAAAATGTTTGGACCAACTGCCTTTTGCTGAAAAATGCAGTTTTGGGTTGACTGAAATGCAAATTCGGCTTGAATTCAGTGAATAGGTTCAAATGAGAAAAGTGAGGGGGGGGACTGAAAAAATTGCAACATTTTATTTCAGTATTCTTAAAACAAACTGTTGTGACTTTTCATTTCAAAATGACGTATAATTTTCAAATTTAGCTAGATTTTTTGCTAAGGTTTAAAAAACACCCAAAAACAAAAAGAAAAAAAATTGTTTTATATCAAATGAAATATTTTATTTGTCCTCAATTGCTCCCTACCCACCCACCCAATTCAGCAAGAAAAAACTGAACATTTTCTGTTTCTGGTCAACATGAAACAATTTTTTTCAGATTTTTCGGTTCGAGCCCTGAACTGAAAAATCAACTAGTAGCTTACCTCTAAGTCCAAAGTTATCTGAGACTTGAATTAAGGGCCAGATTCTGATATCCCTTCATTGACAGTAAGGATATCAGAGTCTGGCCTCAAGTAATCAGTTGTTGTAGATGTTGCTTCCTGATGTATGAAATTATAATGTAATAGCCATATAAATACAGTTTATTCAATAAGTAGTATGCAAACTACAGCCCTGATCTTGTAAGTACTCTCTACATGGAACTCCCATTGATGATAGTGGAAACTGAGCCTATAGAACATTTACAAATTGGGCCCTACATTTGCATATATTTTAATAACATTTAATGTAGCCTTAAATCTTTCAATTTTTGTTAATAATACAAACCACTGGAAAGAAAACAAAAACCAAGAATGGATGGTTAATTCTAATTTTAGGTTTTCAGCTTTATTTAGAAAATACACAAAGGGATTGATTTTGTAGCCCAGAATTAAAAGTGAAATTTGCTCTGAAAAAGAAACAATTAATGAGTGCACTACAGTGAAATCTGGAGCATCTCTGATTTGCTGTTAGCGAATTGCTGGATCATTTATTCACCCCAGCAGTTCTATTTCTAGCCAAGATGAACCTTGGCATCTGTTTTGAATTGTTAATAAGGAAATAATGCATTTTTAATAACTGTAACTATTGCAGTAATTCCTTGCTTGCTCATTTTTACATTGTTCGATGTACACTAGAATAATACAAGATGTTTCTTACATTTTTGTAATATAAAAAAGAGAAATCAAAGTAAGCTAATACATGATGCCAACTCCAGCTCGTTGCTTGTTCCTTTGTGTTCAAATTAGCCCCTACACCTTGCATCTTTGTCCTTTTTTCATTCATACTAAGAAACAGATTGTAAACAGAATACAATTTGAATAGTTAACAAACTGCTGTTCAATAGTAGCAACAATCATTTGATTTCGCAGAGAATAGGGGAGAGGTTTAAAACCAGATGCACCCTATAGTTAAGAGGGTACACTTTCCATAGAAGCCTGCCCCATAGCCATCAGTGGATTATGTAAATTTGAGTGTAAATGACAAAGTAATGTATTTTATGGAATAGCTAAGAACTACATTATTATTTATCCTTATTTAGCTAAGTAGCGTTATCATTTACCCACTAAACCCTGGTTTGCACTACAAATGTGTGTCGGTATAGCGTCGTCACTCGGGTGTGGAAAACCTAGACCCTTGAGTGACGCAGTTATATTGACCTAACCCCGGTGTAGGCAGTGCTGTGTCGATGGGAGGGCTTCTCCCGTTGACATAGCTACCACCTCCTGGGGAGGTGAAGTAACTACGCTGGCGGGTGAGAATGGCAGACAAAATAAATCACAGAAGGTCTAAAATAATGCAGCCTACCCCTTGTTTGAAGGGGAATACGCTTCTCCCAGCATTACAAGTCAAATTTCAAATTCAGCCCTGCTGTAAGCAGGCTTCAATTAGGAACTGAGCCAGAGCTAAATGTGGTCACCAGTTGTAATAGACATTGATTTTGTACAGCCACTGGCTGCAAAATTGCTCCATGTTATTTTGCCATTCAACTTACATGACTGTTTGCACAGTCACTGAATTCGATCCTTAAATGGCTGCCTTCGCAAGCTGTGGATTCAGCCTGCCACTCTACTCATGTAAAAGGAGGGACTTCCAGGTCTGTTGAATGTAATTACTTAATGCACATGTTATTGCTCAGGGTGCTCAAGCTTCTGTACATATGATTAAGGCAAAGATTTAATCACGGGTATTTTTAGTAAAAGTCATGGACTCGTCACGGGCAAAAAACCAAAATATCACGGCCCGTGACCTGCCCATGACTTATACCATAAATACCCCTGATTGAATCTTGGGGGGAGGGGGTACTGTAAGGGAGTATGCTGGGGGGGAGAGAGCCCATGGCACCAGCTGTGGGGGGGGAGACCTGGGGGGCCTGCTGCCACTCCAGCCATGGTGGGGGGGAACCCCAAGGGCCCACTACCACTCCAGCTGCAGGAGGAGAAAGCGCTGAGAGCCTGCTGCCACTGCAGCCACCACTGGGGAGGAGCCCTGGGGCCAGCCACTGCTCCGGTTGCCCTGGGATTGCTGCCAGGAGCCCCTGAGCGGTGGCTCCTCCCGACGCCCCCAGGACTGCTGCTCAGGTGGTCCCTGGGACCAGCCGTGTGACGGGTTGGATCACAGAAACCCCCTTGGGAGCTGCCACCTGATGTGCAAAGACTACCCCTGCTCCTGTTTTCCCTGCCAGCTCAGGACTCCAGCACCTTGTCTTGCTGAGCCAGACACTCCCATCTGCTCCAACACAGACCCAGGGTCTGAATCACTTGCCCCAAAGCTGCAAGTTTACCTGAAAACAGCTCACAGAAGTGTGCTTGTCTTTAGCACTCAGATGTCCAACTCCCAATGGGGTCTAAACTCAAATAAATCCGTTTTACCCTGCATAAAGCTTATGCAGGGTAAACTCATAAATTGTTCGCCCTCTACAACACTGATAGAGAGATATGCACAGTTGTTTGCTCCCCCCAGGTATTAATACATACTCTGAGTAAATTACTAAATAAAAAGTGATTTTATTAAATACAGAAAATAGGATTTAAGTGGTTTCAAGTGGTAACAGGCAGAACAAAGTAAGTCACCAAGCAAAATAAAATAAAATGCGCAAATCTAATGTCTAATCAAACTAAATACAGATAATCTCACCCTCAGAGATGCTTCAGTAAGTTTTTCTCAGACTGGACACCTTCCAGGCCTGGGCACAATTCTTTCCCCTGATACAGCTCTTGTTCCAGCTCAGGTGGTAGCTAGGTGATTCTTCATGATGGCTCCTCTCCCACTCTGTTCTCTTCCACCCCTTTATATATCTTTTGCATAAGGCGGGAACCCTTTGTCCCTCTGGGTTTCCACCCCCCCCCACTGGAAAAGCACCAGGTTAAAGATGGATTCCAGTTCAGGTGACATGATCATATGTCACTGCAAGACTTCATTACCCACTTGCCAGCACACACATATACAGGAAGACTAACAGGTAAACACAGCCATCTGCAGACAATGGTCCTTGTTAATGGGAGTCATCAAGATTCCAAACCATCATTAATGGCCCACACTTTACATAATTACAACAGGCCCTCAGAGTTATATTTTATATTTCTAGTTTTAGATACAAGAGTGGTACATTTCTACAAATAGGATGATCTCACACAGTAGATTATAAGCTTTGTAATAATACCTTACAAGAGACCTTTTGCATGAAGCATATCCCAGTTACATTATATTCACTTATTATCATGATTTTATAAAACCATATAGACTGCACAACATCACAAGCCGCATCGGCCACTGCCTGGGGTCACCAGAGCAGCGGCTGGTGCAACTGGCTGTGGGGCCGTCCGAGCGGCTGGCTGCAGAATCGCTCCAGCAACAGTCAGTGTGGCTGTCCCCAGGGCCATTTGAGCAGGTGGTCCTGGGGTCAGCCACACCAGCTGCTGCAGAAGTCACCGAAGAAGATCGCAGGAATCCATGACTTCTGCGACCTCCGTGACAAACACAGAGCCTTACATATCAATACTGAAGCTGTGATGGTTCAGTGTAAATTGGAGGATAACCAGGAGAGAAAGAGTGTGTGTGTGAAAAATATACCTGTATATACATATTTGTACTATATGTGCATATGTGTGTATATAAGCATGTACATATTACTACAACTGGACAGATTTGTTTAACATTAATGCTTGAAAGACATTGAAATAACTGTTTGAAAGACTGAATTCCATTTGATCTGATCTGTTTCTTCATATGAATACTATTTCTTTGCTTTGTTGTGCATGAAATAACAGTTCCCAACCATACTCCTCCATCTACCCTCTTCAGCTTTCATTACTGATATTTTCAAACCAGATGCCCTGTCATGTCCAAAGATGATTTCTAAAATCTTGAAACTGGAGATTTCCTTTTCTTTTCTTTTTTTTCCCCAGTGATGCCTGTGAAAACAAAAAGATATTGCAAAGGATGTTATAGTACCAAAGAAACCCCATGATTTTCTTGCACTCTCTGCCTGCATAATGTTTAATCAGCACCTCTGTGAGGTAAAATTATTCTTCTGACAATTCCGTACTTATTCTGAAATTCAATACAGAATTTTTCAGTTTTAACCAGCAATGTTGGCTAATGTGTAACAAACCACTACATCAAAAATAGCAGAAGGATTGATCATGCTCATCCTTTTTGCCTGTGCCAGAAGTAATCAGTGTAGCCTAATATTACAGTAATGGTTAACAAGGAAATCCATCATCCAATAATGAACCAAATGCCTAGCTGTTAGCTGTTGATGTATAAGTGGCAGTTTTCCTTTTCACAATCAGTTTCCCAAAGAGTTCTGTGAAATATTTGCACAGTCAGCACAATCAGGGAAAAATCCATTTTTGTTAGATTCCTGCAAATGAAACATTACTCATTTTTTCAGGTTAAAATACCTTTCCCATCCTCAGATTCATTCCCTCATTCAACAGAAGCACAATGTATCCTAGTCTCTGAGAAAATACACCAAACTCCTCTGTAAAATCTCACATAAAAATGTCTTTTGGTCCTAGAATGCCCTGTCTTTCTGGGAGACCCCCAACACCACAATCTACTAGTGAGGGTGTCCTGATGTGGTTTTCCAGCCAAAGCTCTATCGCAGATACAGATGTGTCCAATGAGCTACATTTCACAGAAGACATTGAGTGGCTAAAATGACAGCTTATTAAGGCTTCACAAAACACCAGGAGTTGTTGGGAAGCAGGGCCGGCTTCAGGGTTTTGGCCGCCCCAAGCAGCCAAACAAAATAAAAAAAAAGCCGCGATCGCAATCTGCGGCGGCAATTCAGCGGAAGGTCCTTCGCTCCGAGCGGGAGTGAGGGACCATCCGCCGAATTGCTGCCAAAGCTGGACGCGCCGCCCCTCTTGGAAGTGGCCGCCCCAAGCACCTGCTTGGTAAGCTGGTGCCTGGAGCCGGCCCTGTTGGGAAGGTATCTTCATTCCAACGAAATAGCAATTTGCTAACGATGACTTTGAAACACATTTGTAAGTGTTGTAATTTTCTTGTTTAAAATTCCATCTAAATGCCAGACCATATTATTTCAAACAGATCAGAATGATAAAAATGACACGACTCATGCAAACTGGAGCAGAAGTTCATAATTTTGATGGCTCCCGAGAAAATATAGAAATTCCAAACAGAGAACTAAAGAATCAATCAAACAATATATTCTGTAATAAGAGATTTCAGTGCCAGTAAATATGATTTTCATTCTGTTTATATTGCCAGGTTGCACAGGAAAGCTAGTATAAAAATAGAATAATACTTGCAATTTCTCCACCTTCTGACCTACAGGATCTAGGTATGGAAAAACTGTAATCTATACATTCACCGCCAATAGACTGTTAAAAGCAATTGGTAGATTATTTTAATAGCTACTCCAAATCTTTCCTTCATTGTATTCCTTTCCATCCTTCTTCTTTAGCCTGCTATATAGTTAAAGAAAATGGCCACTGGTGGTGGTGTTACTGGTAAAGAAGGGACATCGTGCAAGCTTCCTGATAAGCCGGCATCCCTTCCTCTACTTCCTCCCACCATAGAGTACAATATAGCATTACAGATGTAGGTATTCCAGATTGCTTTTGTAATTTAATAGCATATGTAACTTCTGATTTGTAGCACTATTCATGATGCTGGCAACTCTGAAGACAGAGTTCTACCTAGCTTAAAAGAAAAAGGAGTACAGCCCTATCTGTAAGAAATACTTCTACACGTAAATCACCATGTAAAAAAATCATGCCTCCACTCCTATATTTTCAATTAAATACATTTGGAAGTCCTCATGGAATCTTTCTCTTTGATCAGTTAAAACCAAGGACCTTTATCCCTACAATAGATTGGGGCAGAGTGAGGAATTCAATGAATTGTACATTTTGAAATAATTTTTCTAGTGGTAAAAATAGAAATTACCCTTCTAAAAAGTAGCTAGACACTTTGATACAAAGCTTTCCACCTCAAACAGTCTTTAATGGCATAACCATTTATGGGTTTGTGCTGTCTTTTGATTATTGCATGAAATCTACTGAAAATGAGGCCCAGAACTTAGCACCATGTATATTCTCCCAAAGATTCTTATGAGCAGTGCAACTGGGCTACCTTCCATTGCTTACAGAGGGGCTGTACTGTTTTTAAATATTGTAGCTGAATTCTCCTAATGTTGTTCCCTTGTGATTCTGTTCCTCTCTCTCTCTCTCTCTCTCTCTTTTCTTTTTTGCCCACCTTGGCAGGGAAGATAATGTTCTCCACCAGTTCTGTTGTCCACCTTCTGGGTCTAGTAGTCCATCCTCAAGATAACAGAGAAGCTCTGGGTCGCTAAGTGGGCAGTCAGAGGGCCACATCTGTATATTCCATCTCCCTCCTCTTCTTTCTCTTGCTGGTGTGTATGGGACTGACATAACTTGCATGGAGACACTAAAGATTCTGGTTTACATCGAATTTAAATTTACTCAGAATGCCTGGTAACTTCCACTCTGCACTTTCTTCTCCAAGCTTTCACGGCTCACTCTTTCTGTGCCAAGTGATTAAAATGCATATGGAGTGTAAACAAAAATGTAAAATGCACAATATATTTTGAAACAAAATAAACAGTGCCATAAATCTCCAAGTGTACTGCGAATTTTGTTATCACATGCAGTCATAATGATTTCTTATAGGCAGTAGATGTGCTAACTAATGTGATTTATTTTCTTTCAAATAGATTTTTGTTCTCTCCGAACGTGTATTGCATTAAGCCTTTTGGAACAGTCTTGAATGCAGATTTCAAAATTGGGCTCTAGCTGCATAGTTCAGATCCAAATCTGAATGTGGCCAGTGTTTAGGGATGTTCGAACCTGAGACTTTGGTTCAACTACTTTTCTACTACTGTAGATGTCGTCTGACTATGCCAGTGATTCTGCCAGATGGGTATTGTAGCTGCAGAACCATATTTGCCTAGGCTTTGAACAGCTGCCTTTCTCAATGTTTTTTAAATGTCTACCAATTGTATATTTAAATATGTTTGTGAAAGAGTCATATTCTGTATTAGGCACTGATAAACACACCTCAACTGAATAGTGTATCTTTCTCTAAGCTATGTACAGTATCATGTAAAGGCCCAGATATGTCCGTGGATGGTTATGTCGCTCCCACTGCAGTGAATGTGAACTGCCCATGTTCATCCAAGAGCTCCAAATGCCTGAAACCCAACAGGTACTTGGTAGGTGGAAAAGAGGGATGGAACTAGAACATACCACCTGCAAATGACCGTTTGAGGGCTGCAGCTGTTTGGCTCTGCTGAACTTAAAGGGCCAAACCCAGAAAGATATTCTGGGAAATAAAGGTCCTATAATAGAGCAACTCCACATTTTGGGATTGAATGCATCTCAGTTTCATGTGGTTCTCAATCAGGGTTAGTAGGGAGCAGAAAATCACTGAAGAAATTGTTCTTGGGAGAGGGGTTACTTTGGTGTTGGGTCTATCACACCACAAGATATAATTCTAAAGGATATGAACTACCTGGGGTTTAAATGGAGTTAGAGGAGGGATTGGGAGGTAGGATGAAAGACTTGCAAAAGAGTTGATGTTTTCTCTTAATTATATGTAGTTGTAAGGACAGGGGATGGAAAGGATTGGGGACCAGTAGAATCAGGGCAGGAAGCAGACTAAGACAAGGCAGGGTAAGGGTCATCCTGTTCTTCTCTTGTTCCACACTACACACAATTCAAGGTCCAGGAATGGCCAAAAATGTGCCTGTGCATTTAGTGGACAGAATTTTAGACTGCGTGCTCCTCAGTTTTTCTCCCAGTTACCCCATGTTATGCCACTCTTTAGATTATTCATTTACTTAACTTCATGACCATGCCCCAGATAAGTGTGTCACATACCTGGGGAAGAATTTGGCCTTAAGGAATGCAAACCCTGGTACTCTTTGTGCATTTGTAAGAGGTTCTACACTACCCTCAATTTGTGTGTGCAGATTGAGAGCACTGTATGGCTTGATCCTACATTTGGGGATTGAATACATCTATTTCATGTGGTTCCCAATCATATGGCATTACAGTGGAATTAATGGGCATTCATTCTCTATGAGGAATTTGCAGATCATGCATGCTGAAACTGTTGTTTAAAGGATTTCTCCTTTTTGATACAGACGTATTAGTGTTCTCATGTTTACCGTGTTAGGTAGAGTAGAACATTAAAATGTCTGCATGTCACTGACATTTTCTTAGCCTTTTATCTCTTCCATTAATTAAGCAGGAATTTCTCACAGACTTGTTACACTTGGCTAGAAACAGTAGGGATTTGTATTATTTTGACTTGCTTATCTCTGTCACTAGCGTAAACAATAATTACCTCTCTCCACTCAGTGTACTGATCTGAAGCACAGTAATTATTCTCTTCTACAGGCTGGGATTTGTGAGATCTTCTCATCTGTATTTTGTTTGTTTGTTTAAAGAAAAATAGAGGAAAGACTTATGTACATGAAAGTCCAAAAACATTCATTCTGGGTGTCAGTCCTTTTGCAATGAAGAGAAAGCATCATCTTGAATGTAGTTACAGTTAATACTGCCTCTCATGAGAAAAGGCAGTCCAAGGCAGATCTGTGCTATTATCTGGTGCAAAGACAATACGATCACTTGGTGTTGTCTGCATTTTGCACTTTCCAGTTAGACGCAAAATTTTTGTCCTCAGAAATTGCTGGCATACAAAACTCTCAAGTCAGTAACTATGCTATCTTCAAACCATGCATTGTTCTGCACCAGAAAAGCTGACCTCCACTGATGCAGTGAAAGTCAGATATGCAGAAGTACACATTTCCCTTTTTAAATAAATAATGTCTAGCTAAATAAAGCATGCTGTATATCTCAGGCTTCAGCACTGGAACTGGGTAGAATTCTTTTCTAGTTACCTCATCCAAGTTTTAAGCAGATGACCTAACCGGTGCACATTGTCATGAAATGGAAGGGAAGGGCTGCACTGAAAACTGTCTTTCCCTTTTCTTCTGATTTCTATATGCTTTCCATAGTTGGGAGTGTGGAGGATGCTTCTAGTTGTGCATGAATGAATCGTTCAACAAATGGACCATAACACATACATCTTTGATATGGAAGGCTGGGGAAAAATCGTTTAGCTGCTGTTCTCATGCTTTATTCACTTATTTTGTGTGAATGCATTCCAGAGTGCCCCTGGGTGAAGGGTTGAAGAAGAGCTGCCGCTTGGGTGGTTTTACATAGAAAATGTTTTATTAGGCACTTGCAAATTGGTACTGATTAAGATCTGGCTCATTTTTATTTTTCCATTTTGAATACAGGGGCTTCTTTTGTGATCATATTAAGTTTTTAGTCATGTTTCTTTTTTGGATGGTTTTGGTTACAATGCACATACATTACAGCATTCAGTACTTTGCATGCATTGCAACCTATGTTCCAAAAGTAGATTGTATCTTAAAATAACTTTCATTATTAGGAAAATCTAAATATTATATAACTGTCTACTATATGAGTAAAAAAATTAAGTCCCTGGAAGAGTTAATAAAATGGAGAGGATGTTTGCAGAAACAGTTCCGTATAGATGTCATTACAGATTCAGATCAACATTTTAAAATTTTCCCAAGATCTTAACTAACTCAAGGTTCACAAAAGATAAGTGGTTCAATTTCATTGTGGTGAGAAAGGTCCTTACATGAAACAGATACGTGGAAATGACCTGTAATTTCAATACATGCCAATTAAAATGTAAATTATTATCATTGCTATTTGTATTGAAGTAGTTCTTAGAAGCCCCAGTCAGGGATTGGGGCCCGATTGTTCTAGGCACTGTATACACACATTGCACACAGAAAGTCCCTGTCCTAAAGAGCTTTCAAACTACGTAAACCCAGTTGATTAAATCTGTGGAGTGTGTTGATGACATATGACATTGTCATTCCAGTGTAGACACAGATTAAACAGATGCACATTTGATTCAGTTGTTCATTGTTTTGAAAATTGCTATTTAATGCTTCATGCTCATATTACATTCAAATGCTCATTTTGGTGAATCATGCTTAACCGTTGCTTTTAATCTTTTCATTACAAATGCTTAAATTGTTTAGGAAATATAAGTTTGCAAAGTATAGAAACACTAGGGCATGAAAAATACTATGAATCACTGTAATAGAAATACAAAATGCACCTTTTATTTGCTCTTAGATGTGTAGATATTGTGAGTATTCTAATCAAGAATATTTTTATGAGCAACAGAGACAGATTTTACATGACACTAAGATTCCTGCAAATGGTTGCTAGAGGGAGCTCTGGGGCAGTGCATTTCAAAGCTTTCACAGTATTTGCTCATCATGCTTTACTGTCTTTTGAGAGCATGAATCACAGATAAAAAGGAATTAATGTATGTTAACCTGCACCTTTATGCACTTATTACTTGCTATTTATGTGGAGACAGAGAAGGAGTGACATATAAACTGACAAAATGTGCATGTGTTTTCCACTGTGCTCCATAAACTTTTCTTTGCTGAACGCTAACACTCTGTGTTTGTTTATTAATATTATTGACTGTATGCACTTTGCAGTCTTGACAGTTTTCATTGTTAGCCAACTATATATGGCTCTTTCTCCTATTAAGTTAACATAGAATTTATCCTTAGGAAAGTGCTTTGACTCATGAAGTTGATAACAGTACAATATACTTATATGGAATCTTCTTTGAAAACAGTACTGGGCATATTCTTCTGGGGTAGAAACAACAACAAGATATGAAACAAATATTTTGGACCCCCAGCATCACTCCATTTACTCCAATGGAGCTATTTCTCATGCACATAGTCATAAATCAAAGGAGAATCAGGCCCTCCTTTACAAGTGATTTGTCCCTGTTAACTTTGTTTCCCTTACAAGCAGCTTTAAGAATGTCTGGCAGATTCAGTCGATCTGTGGATACTCCAAAATTTGCAAAATGGGCATTGCCACCAGTACAGCAAGTACTGTTGTTTGGGTGAAATCTGTAAGCAGATACAGCTGCAAAGAAAGTCTGAATCATCTAACACAAAAACAACCCTGTTTAGCTGAGTCATATTAGAAGTTTGTTTTTTCTGGTCGCTGACAAAGATACAGACTCAACCTCTGCTCTGAAATGAAGTTCCTACCTCTGTTGATGTACAGGTTGATCTTAAAGTTCCAGACTGATTTTAATCAGCTGTCCTAGGGCAAGGGGAAGTATCCTTAGCAGATATCAGAGGGAGGCAGCATGCTGTGATGAATACAGCAACTGAGAAGCAGGAGACCTATGATCAAATTTATGAGGGACATAAGTAAGCGCAACTTTTAGTGAAGTCAATGGGAGTTGTGGCTGTTTATGCCTGGGCTAAATTTATCCTCCCCATTCCACCACTGGGTAACTTTGGATGAGTCACTTAATCACCCTGCTCTTCAGTTTCCTCATGTGTAACATAGGGAACGATAATATTTACCAATCCTTGAAATAGCTTTGAGATTCTTAAATGAAAATCTCTGTAGGAGATTACTCTTTAGGTTATTGCCCTAGGCAGTGGGGAAGGATAACGACTGAAGGAAAATGGGGCATCTATTCATTTGTTTTCCTTCATCTTGTATGGTAAAGGCTCATG